CCGCTGTTCACAGAAATTACAGTGTTTCAGCGAATTTTGATGCCGGAAAAGCTCACTGAATGGTCCAAACAGAATAGTATGTTTGCTTCTTGTACTGTATTCGAATTTCTGTTCAGATATTTTCGACACATTTTTACTATAGTACCATCTCCTAATTCATTTTTGTTACAGAAGTTAGCCACGTCGGTTTACCGCCATATATCAGTAGTGGTTTATACACACACAATGGCGAGAAATTGCGATTTTTGATTATGCCACGTTATGAAAAATCGTTAGAAACATATCGAACATCAAATGGTGGTACACTGGACATGCATGTGGTATTATCTGTAGCAAAACAGTGCATCAATTGCTTGTCCTATATGCAAGATCACGTTTGTTCTCCTTTTTATCGTTGTTTTTATCATGATTACATTTTATGAAATTTTAACTTTTTTACATACGATTTTTTGTAATCTTAATACTTCTGTGTTAACACACTTTTTCACTGGTCAATTAGTGTTGCCAGCTTCTTCAAAAAAGTTTCGTTTTTACGTATCCTTGATTGTTTGCCATGTTATACACATGTCGAAGGCATCACATAATATTCTGTAACTTTTTTTGAGATAATTCGTGAATTCATCCCTCGACAGCAACCTATAATTGTAGGTACATTTCGGGAAGTCTTACCCATCCATCGGGTTCCGGGGCAAGCCAGGACTGCAAATTAAGGCAGAAAAATTTTGCAAAGTGATTTTGCTTGAGTTTTGTTGCATGGAAATATCACTTTCAGGACTATGTTCACGGTGATTTGAAAGCGGACAATATCCTTTTGGCTTCTGCGAATACATTTTCCAAGTGCTTCTTGGTTGATTTTGGACTTGCAAAAATGGCAAAAGGAAATGTTGAAAAGCCAGACAAAAAGCGAGGTAAGCTTTGCTTGCAAGTTTTAGTGTTATGAATTTTTTTTGAGCAACTAAAATTTTGAAACGAGGATTTATTAAAGTGAGTGGTGAATGAGGTAATCTGGGGAATTTGTCTTTTTCAAAAAACCGTTTTTTTGTTTTTGATTTTAACAGAAAATAAAACGTCTTTCGAAAAACGATAATTTACTCTTCGAGGAGGTTGGTTTGCTTCTAAGCAACTCTCGAAAGGGGGGAGTCGTCGAGCGGATGGACAGTGTTGGCATATTTGGACTGCCAAGCACTTCCCCTTTCCAAAGTGGGTGAATACTGAGGAAGTTTTGGCTTCCAGTTGTTAAGTTGTCTCTTTCTTCGGCTTATAATATCTGTTAAAATTCAAAATATGTCTTCGTTAAGCCTTTTTTTCCTGAATACCAAAAGTAATAAAAAAAAGTTGATTTTTTAGCTCACAACGGAACACTTTTGTTCACATCACTTGATGCGCATCGTGGTTGCGCTCCGTCGTACAGAGGTGATCTGGAAATACTAGCCTACAACATTCTTTATTGGTTGTGTGGCACATTGCCCTGGCAAAAGCTCACTGAGAAACCAGATGAGGTAAAAAAACCATTTTTTGTCGTTTAAACTTGAATTTACGAATATCAAACTCAAATTTCTTTTCGTTTTTATGCGTTTTTTGCAGCAATGCAATGCAAAAAACGCATATTGACGAGAGGTTGTCT